CGTGCAAAGAAGCTGTGAAAGACAAGTGGACAAGCGAAGCGACTCCTCTCTTGTGTGGCTTCGCCTTGTGTCGCAGCGCCTGATCGAGAGCCTGAGAGCCTAGTAGAATCACGAGACGTCACAGGGCACTGACAACAACACACCACGACGGCAACGGCAGCGGGAACGTCCCCAAACAGCTGTGCACGTTCGTAACAAATCTTAATACATTTCTTTGCCATCCTCTGCTGGACAAGAACGTGAAATAGCCAAGTTCTGAGGAACGCGAACGACGACGGCTAATTTTTTTTATTTCCATTTGGAATTGAACGATGTCATTGCATATTTAACCTGAGCACGTTTTCAAAATCATTGGCATACTGAACAGATCTAGACAATTTCGCTCGGCTGGTAAAATATAAATTCATTTTTGACTAGGGGTCGTCCTCGGCGTCGCCATCGTCGCTGCTTAAACTCCCCAATGTTTAGCCTCGGGCGGGAGGGCGGCGTAAATTGTCCCACGTTGATTTTTCAATTTTTTCTTATGAGTAAACAGCGTTTATTTAAACTTTAGTGTTGAAACCTTTTGACTTTTCCAAGAATTTACAATGGAAAATTTTGGTGTGTTAATTGTTTGGTCACGTTACTTGCAGCTTTATAAGTACACTGTAGTTTGTTGGGATTTCATGAAATTCTTTGATCAGTTACAAAATTCTGAAATTGTAAACGTCCATATTAGTTTGATCTAATTGGTGGAATGCATATGCGATATAACTGTTGTCAAGTTGTAAATGATGATGGTTTAGCTACCAGTGTAATCACGTGTGTATTTTCTAGACTCCTTGTCGTCATCACTGGGGCCCAGGGCTCTCCGCACTGGAAGACGCCTTAGCCTTAAAAAAAGAAATTTTCAGCTCATTGACGAGATTGCACGCTTTAGCTGATGAGAAAAAGGATTCTCAGGTTGGTCATGGACTCTCTGACTTTCCACGGCGGACATTCTAATATCATGCATTGTATCGCATGATATGGTGGAAGTAATAAAAATACAGTCGAACCTCAGGCTGCGACCACCTCTCCCCCCCAACCCTCCCCCGCTTCACTAAGCGACCGCCTCTCCTCAGCGACCAGTTTTTAAAAATACCTTAAAGTTTCTAAGTCAAATCACTATATTTGGAACCTCTTGTAAGCGACCACCTCTCGTGAGCGACCGCGACCACTTTCAGAGCCAAAAGTTTGAAATTTTCTGAACCTCCCTTAAGGGGCCACTTGACAGATAATAGAGTAGAAATTGGATAATATGGTGTTGTAACATTATCGCATTCCTGGGTAATACGAGAGACCGAAAATTCTCAATGGGAAGTACTAGATATTTTTTCGAATGACTTTTCACATGAACTTAACATTTAAAATGTGCGTTCCTGTAGTTACCATGTGCTAACGATGCAAAAATTTGACCCAATATGGTCTAAGCTCTCGTGAGAGACCACCTGCGGCAGGCGACCACTGGCACCTCAGCTTGACTCTTTGGGTGGTCGCTTACGGGCGGTTCGACTGTATGTGGAAACCACTTTAACTTGCAGCCCATGCTTTCCCATGATATCTGCTGTAAGCCACTATTGCTTCTCTTGGAATTGTTTAAGATCGCACACAACAGCCAGACATGTTACGACGACGTGAAGCAGGAACAAGCTAAGGCCCTTCGTGTGTAGGCATGGCACTCATGTTACAGAGGCAGTGCGCAAGCTGTTGTGCAAGAAGCTGTTATTGGTTCATTTCTGTGTTGTAGTGAGGACAGTTTGCATACGATGCGACATTGAAAACTGAGGTCAGGCAGCCGCTGCTTCTGCTTGGGAAGTCAAACTAGTTGAATTTCATGCAGTCCGGGCGACGGAACTTTTTCGCCAAAACGGGCATGTAACACGAGGAAAACAGTCGCTGCAACATGTTCCCGCTTCACCAACATGTCCCCTAGTGTTAGCCTGTGAACAGGCTCCCGGCGAGGACGGAAAAAAATTTCGGCGAGCGCGAAGCAGAAGAATTCGGAGACCGGGAGCCTGTTCGCAGGCTACCTAGTACCTAGTGTC